ATTAAAATTTCTACTTTACATTTTGCTTTTTTTCCCCGTCAGGGTGGTGGTTGTGGAGGAGAGGAGCATACGGCCTGGCTTGCATGAAGAATCTACTTCGGATTCATTTCAGTCTATTGCCAAACATCCCAGGCACTCAGGCATCGCTCTTATTTTTTAGAGACTTCATCTCTTAGTTAGTAACCCCTGCTAACAATTGTAATTAATAGAAGAGATGTCTTTTACAAGAACCACTGCTGCTTTTCTTATGTTCTAATCTCACAAGAGAGGTGAGACACCCTTTCTACACACACAGGGCTTCCGGTGTGATTGCTGGTGATCAACTATGGAAGGCAGAATTGTGTTACTACATACCCTTGTCTGACTGCTGCTTGGTGATGAGAACCTCCAAGCTGAACTTCTTCCAGGGCTCAGAAGCCTTGGCGTTGGTATCACTGGAAGAATGGGAGCATTTGCATTTTTTCCTACTGCTAGTGCGAGTAGGGCCATCACCCTTTTGTTTGGAAGTCTCCCTGGAACAGGGGATCGAGCGCAGTGAGAGCTGCCTTCCCCTTCTGCCCTTACCTATTTCTTTCATCTGCTTGGGTCAGTCACTCCTTTAAGGCTTTCTCTCACATTTTATTTCCTGATCTTTTCATTCATTCACTCATGGGTCTCCGTAGAGTCTACATTTCTAATGCTGTTGAGATAAAGAATACAGTTGTTTTGACCTGACTTATTTCCAGTAATACTCAGGATTGTTAAGCATAATGAATGATCATTTTATTTTGTTCAGTGTCTGTTTTTCTTTTTTGTGGTGGTCGTGGTTTGGAGATATATAAATTTGTTGTCGGCGGTAATAGTTTAGTTACTAAGTTGTGTCTGACTCTTGTGACCCCATGGACGGTAGCCTACCAGGCTCCTCTGTCCAGGCAAGGATACTGGAGTGGGTTGCCATTTCCTTCTCTAGGGGATCTTCCCAGTCCAGGGATTGACCCTTCATTTCCTCTATTGCAAACAGATTGTTTACTCCTGAGCCACCAGGAAAGCCCATATAAATTTATCACTTACTTAAAAATTCAGTACATTCTTCCTAACCCAGGGATTGAACCCAGGTCTCCTGCATTGCAAGCAGTGTTCTGCATTGCAGGCAGATTCTTTACCAACTGAGCCACCAGGTATGCCATTTTATAAATAGATGGTCTTAAAGGAAGACCTATTAGTAAAAAAGAAACCTGGTTATATTTCTGGGACATAGTGAAAACTTAAAATCTTAAGTTTTATGATTCTCTTCAGCTAAGACCTGATTAAAGCATAACCAGGAATTGGCCATCTGGAAAGCACTATTAATGGATCCAGAAATGTCATTGTCATCTTGAATTATATAATATAATTTGCCCTGAAGAAAAATATAGTGGGTTGAGTAGAATCCAGAGTTTATGAAAAAGTCTGGTGTCCCTTATTCTGTTCTTTCTTTGGGCTAATTTATTTTGCATATCATTTCTAATGATCAATAATTCTTCAGTCACTCATGTGCAGAATTTATCATTTAATTTCTGTAGTTCTGTGCTGCTTGTTATTTATTTAATGTTGTTTGCTCAACTGGATTGTAAGCTTCTAGAGAATATGAACCAAGTTATCTTTTTTTTTTCTTCTGTATATTCTACAGTGCCTAACATGGGATACTGGACATAAAATAAATGCTTAATGAACGCCTTGTACTTAGTCACCTGGATATATGGTTATTAGGTCAACACGTTTCCATTCTTGTCTTCTTCATCATCTGGTTTCATAATTTTCATTCTGGAGCTTTTAGAAGGCATGTATCATTTATTTTAGTACCTAGCAATATAGGTCACAGATTTTCATCCTTTGTTGGTGCCATGAAGTATTGATGTAATAGATATTCCTAGCATTAAAATACCTTTTACTTCAGAGGTTGGGAAACTCAGTTATATAATATAATAGAACTTATAGAGGACATGGGAGAGGGAAACAGTTCCTAGTATGCTAAGGCTTTAGAGAATTGTGAGTACTATCCCTTTTGATTCTTTGGGTCAAATACTCTATGTTTTATTGATAAACATTTTAGCATATTCTGGCATGCTTGTTAAGTATAGACTCTTGTTCTTGGTCTTTTCAGATTTTGTGATAGTAGTGCTTTTTAAAAGTTTGTTGTGAGGGAAAGGAAAGTGCACTGGGAGACAGACATGGTTAAACCATAAAACATGGTTCTGTTTTATAAATGAGACTCAAATATAAATTTATAGAGTTAGGAGATATCTTAGCTTTTATAGGTAAGATAAATCAAGGACCAGTGTGGTTAAGTGACTTAGGTGAGGTTACAGTTAGTGCAAGTCAACATCGGTCAGGGTAGGTTGAGATAATCAATTTACTTCTGACTCTCCAATGCAGTTTATTCTGGAGATAGATAACTGAGAAACTCACATATTTTTTAAAGTGTACTTTTTTTTAAAAAAGAAGTGTTTGAAATGATCTTTCATATGCTAATATTATATACAAGGTGACCTCAAGTAGAACATAGTTGAGAGGTAGAAATACTATGCACTGAGGCTTGTAGTTGAAAAATCTGGGTCCTAATTCTAGGTTTATTAATTATAAATGGAGTGACCTTGGAACAGAAATCACACAGCACTCAGAAAATCCACTGGTGTTATTTTAAAATGGAAGAATTGGATGAGGTTTTCCCTGAGAGCCTTTTCAGTTCTAAAGTGAAGTGAAAGTGTTAGTCACTCAGTCCTGTCCAACTCTTTGTGATCCCATGGATTGTAGCCTGCCAGGCTCCTCAGTCCATGGAATTCTCCAGGCAAGAATACTGGAGTGGCTAGCCATTCCCTTCACCAGGGAATGTTCCCAAGCCAGGAGTTGAATTGAGGTCTCCTGAATTGCAGGAGGATTCTTTACCTTCTGAGCCATCAGGGAAGCCCTTTATTTCTAAATTTCTGTCTAAAAATGAAGCAAAGACAAGCACTGGGAACTTGACATGATCAAAGCTTTACGAAATCAGAGTAAAGACTGACATTTCTAGTGTCCTACCCAACATGTCAGCAGCTCAACATTAGAATTTATTTCTAGATTCTATACCAAATCTATTCACTAGACACGATTGATGCTTTTCCAGATGATTTCTATTTCTTAGGCTTAATTTGGATCTCTTGTTTTGAGCTTGTTGCCAGAATAGGAATACTGTGAATAGATATAAAAGAACCAATGAACTTATTATTTAGAAATCTTTTGGCTCTTCCAAATGAACAGTCCATGTACATGGTAGGTGCATTGTTGTATTAAAGAATAAAGAAAACTTAGGTTGTTTAAATTTGAAGCATCTTTTATTGAAAGTGCTATAACTTATCCATGAGTTTTGCTTCATTGAAATAGTGTGTTTTGCCTGGTAAACTTCCCTTGTTTTACATTCTGTAGGACAGCAAATCCAGTGTTTCTTAGCCATGTTCACTCTTATTCAAAGATAGTATCCAGGAGGGTAAAAAGGGTCATCTGGTCACATTTAAGTGTTTTACCTTGTCCTGCACCCTGGAGTATGGTTACTCTTACTTGCAGATTGTCATCAGTCTTTCACCACTCCAAGCTCAAAGTGTGTCTGCAGTGCCTGTGGCCCTGACAGTTCCTCTTCTTTCTTCAGAGAACAGCTGGTCAGTCATGACTCCCAAAGAACAATTTGCAGTCTGTGTTCAGGGTACTTTGGAAAGACTCTGTGGCAAAGCCAATGTGAAGCCAGTGGGATGACAATATTTTCCTTAATAGGTGAAGGAGATAATAACTATAGTATAAGTTCACAGCATAAGGTCTGGTGCATTTTAAGTGCTCAGTAAATAATGCTTTTATTCGGTTCCATAACTTTGCTTCTAGGTTTGTAGCTCTCAGGCTATCAGCAAGCATGCTGTGTGAAGTCACTTTAGTCGTGTCCGACTCTTGGACTGTAGCCTGCCAGGCTCCTTAGTCCTTGGGATATTCCAGGCAAGAATACTGGAGTGGGTTGTCATGCCCTTCTCCAGGGGATCTTCCCGACCCAGGGATCGAACCTGAATCTCTTGCAACTCCTGCATTGCAGGCAGAGTCTTTTCCATTGAGCCACTGGGGAAGCCCAAACTGGAAGCAGGCCCATACATTTTGTTAGGACCTGGGGAAGAGCCTTCAGAATTTAAGTGTTAAATTAAGTGTTTTAAGTGTTAATTTAAGTGTTGACTTAGTATTGAGTTTTGATACTGTGTCTTTTCTATTATTTAACTTAAAAAAAGAAAACTAACATGTTCTGTGACTTTAGTAGCCCTAAATTGGGGATTAGCAATTAAGGGACTTAATTTGTACTGAAGGCTTTGATATCTAGAGACAATTCAGGCTCCTTCTCAAAATGTGGGCGTATGTNGACTTTTGGACTCTGTGGGAGAAGGCAAGGGTGGGATGATTTGAGAGGGTAGCATTGAAACATGTATATTATCATATGTGAAGCAGATCGCCAGTCCAGGTGTAATGCATGAGACAGGGTGCTCGGCGCTGGTGCACTGGGATGACTCTGGGGGATGGGCTGGGGATGGAGGTGGGAGGGGGTTTCTGGATGGGGAACACATGTGTGCCCGTGACTGATTCATGTCGATGTTTGGCAAAAACCATTACAATATTGTAAAGTAATTATCCTCCAATTAAAATAAATTAATTAATTTTAAAAAATGAACTTTGTTTTCACTTTCAGATGGGCACTATCTAATATAATGAGTGAATATTTATTTTGTCCTTATTGTGTATCAGGTGTTGTAGTAACTCATTTAATCCCTAAAAATAACCCTTTATGGAAGGTATAATGATACAATCTCTGTTTCACAGAAATCTGCAGAGACATTAACTTTCCAGAGGTCATAGAGCTAGTCCATGGCAGAGCTAAAATTTGAACCCAGCTGTAGAACTCTTTCTGTGAACTGTTCCCTTACTCACTAGACTATCTGCAAAGGCTGATGACATTCAGTATCGGTGAAGGTATCTGGAAGGAAAATAGCCACCTCACCTGCATTTCAAGTGTGAGAAACATTTATTGTGCCTCTTTTTGAAAAAGAAAAAAAAAAAGCACTCTCGTAGCATTCTTCAACACCCTAGAATCCAGTAGTTCCACTTTTAATAATTTATCCTAATAATCAGTTAAGTGTGCGTTAATGAATGTGAGAAGATGTGTTTACAACATGGTTTACAGCAGTGAGAAAATCACCATCTCGAATGAATTGTTTAAGAAAATTATGAAATGTTACATGATAGAATGTTACATGGCTATTAAAAAGGATGGTATAGTGCTGTTTATTAATATGAATGTCCACATTAGAATTTGTATGAAAAGAACATATTGCAAAACAGTTTGTACTCTACAGTATGATCTCATCTCATCTATATGTTTAAATAGCTAGTCATGTATTTCTAGACCAGAATATCAGTGGGCTGGCATCTCTGGGTGCTGGCATTATAGATGATATTTATCTTTTTCTTTTCTCATCTTTTTTGAAATTTTATATTGAGCGTGTGTTATTTTTATAGTTGGAAAAAAAGCCCCGAACTTATTTCCTTATCCCCTCAGCTCTTATTTTTTTGTGATAAAATGAGGCTGGCACGTTTTACTTTGCTGTCGTACTTTCCGAAGGTGAGGCAGTGTTTTATGTGGGCTTTTCCTGAGGCTCCATGTCATAGTTCTGGTTTTGAAGGCTTCCAGGGTTCTCTGTTCCTTCCTCTGAAACTGCTGCAGAAGTCTAGATGCGCTGTCATTGCTGCTGCTGCTGCCGAGCATTAGGTGGGGCTCATGAGCCCTGGATGCACTGAACTGCAAGCCCACCCTGGTTGACGTGAGCTTCCTGATGTAAATGTGGCGTTTCTGTAACAATTTATATCAAGGTAGAACTCTGTTAAAATAACTAAATACAAGCTATGACTAAACATCAAAGCAGATAATATCTTAAAGCTGCATTGGAAGTAAACTAATGTCATTAATAAACTGGAATCTTTTGTCAAACTGTCCAACATTTCCTTTGTGATCATATAGGCATATCCTGATTAGAATGTTCTTAAATTTTAGCTTGGTGTAAAAACATCACAGAGCTTGTATTCTATCGCATACCCCACACTGGGTTTGGACTTGGTTAGTAATGCCCTGCCTGCTTTTGACCAATTTGTTTTTTACTTAGACTTTGGGTATATATGCTTAATACTAATTTAATTGGCTATTCTCTTTCAAAATCTTGTTTTGAAGTAATTGATTGTCCACTGGATTGCAGCATCACCCTAGTTGGATATCCTAAAATTTTATGATGCAGTAGAAACAGGAAGTCATAGCTAGTAGTCTTGGTGATTTGGTGTTTTCAGTCATAGAAGTCTGTTTTCTTAAAGGGGAATGGAGTCTACCCTGTCCCCTCTTGTGTGAGTTAATTCATTTGCTTACAGGGTTTCTATAGGCAGAGTAATATGAATTAAGGTCTTCCTGACTTCGCTAGACATATTGCTTACAATAGAACAATTACTGTTAAAAGCAAATTTACCAGAAAGTAAGCTCATTATTGGAGGTCACAATTTTATCATGGATCCTCACTGGTCTTGTGGATGAGGCTTAGTTGTGTTTTTATATTCCCTCCCCTGCAATTGATTTACTGAAATCGTAGGATTATCTATCTCATTGGCCTGTGGCCCACTGGTAAGCCCTGCTCTGAAAATATACCAGGATGTGTTTATTGGTCCATGTTTTTTTTTCCTTAGAGCTTTGGGGTCATGAGTATGGATTAGGCTTGTGATTTTTGTGAATCTTTGGTTGGGATTCTGTTAATGGGAAATTTAGAGACAAATCAACGGCCTATTTCTAGTATCGGAATTGTGCTGAATGGCAAGAGTTCTCGGTGTAAACTTTATCCCTGGCTTGCTTCCCCTGGCTTTTCTTCACTGACTTCTTTTTAGCATGTTGAATTGTTGTACTGCAACATGCTATGAAAAACTTTGGGAATAAGAATAAGAATGAAGATGAATAAACAAGATTTTGTGTTATTTAAGTTTTTAATTGCTTAAATGATTATGTTGCTCTAAATTTTATGGGAAATAGAATTTAATTTCAGAAAGACTATAGTCTCTCAGTTGACTTCTGGTTCTTTTAAAATTAGTTTAATAAACTTGGATATACTTGGGGAAAGAGCATCTCAGTTATTAAACTTGACACTGTATAGAGATGAGCTGGTACTTTCTTACATCAGTAGCTTTCAGATTTCAGCATTCATCAACACCAACTGGGAAACATGTGAACAGTCTGATTCCTGGGCCCCATCCCGTGGTGGGTTAGGATTTGGGTTGAGGTCTAGAATGTGGTAGACACATTATGTGATTGTCATATTCCTGATAGCTGCTTCTCCTGCCTGCCTTCTTCCTCATACTAATCTCCCAGAAAAAATGTTCTTCATTCTTAATCCCTACTGTCTTTCCCTTTTGGTTCTCCCCTCACCAGCCCCAGCTGTATTGAAATATAATTGACACATAACATTGTGTAAATTTAAGTGTAGAACATGTTGATTTGATATACTTATATATTGAAAAATGATTAGTTACCACTATAGCTAGCTAACACTTCCATCATGTGATATAATTGCCATTTGTTTTTTGTGGTGGTAAAATTTACTATCCTTTTATAAAGTTTCATATGTAATCACTGTGCTGTATATTAGATCCTCAAAACTACTTATTTATTTTAAAGCCTGGAAATTTGTACATATATCTCCCTTCCCATCATCATGTATTTTTCTTATCTTTTTTTCCCTGCCCCTCTCTGTTTTTTTTAGGTCAACTCAGATCTTTGGACTTTCCAGTTTTCTCCTCCCTGCTTCCCCCACTATCTAGGTTTTGTAACTAAGTGGTGGGACATCTCCAGTATATTATCTAGGATTTCTAAGTCTGTGACTTTTAGGGTTTGAAATAGCTCAACTGGAATTCCATCCCCTCCACTAGCTTTGTTCCTAGTGATGGTTCTTAAGGCCCACTTGACTTCACATTCCAGGATGTCTGGTTCTAGGTGAGTGTTCACACCATTGTGATTATCTGGGTCATGAAGATCTTTTTTGTACAGTTCTTCTGTGTATTCTTGCCACCTCTTTTTAATATCATCTGCTTCTATTAGGTCCATACCATTTCTGTCCTTTATTGAGCCCATTTTTGCATGAAATGTTCCCTTGGTATCTCTGATTTTCTTGAAGAGATCTCTAGTCTTTCCCATTCTATTGTTTTTCTCTATTTCTTTGTATTGATCACTGAGGAAGGCTTTCTTATCTCTCTTTGCTATTCTTTGGAACTCTGCTTTCAAATGTATATATCTTTCCTTTTCTCCTTTGCTTTTAGCATTTCTTCTTTTCACAGCTATTTGTAAGCCCTCCTCAGACAGCCATTTTACTTTTTTGCATTTCTTTTTCTTGGGGATGGTGTTGATTCCTGTCTCCTATACAATGTCATGAACCTCTGTCCATAGTTCATCAGGTACTCTATCAGATCTAGTCCCTTAAATCTTATTTCTCACTTCCATTGTATAATCGTAAGGGATTTGATTTAGGTCATACCTGAATGGTCTAGTGGTTCTCCCTACAGCTTGCTGTGGTCCATGGAGTTGCAAAGAGTCGGACATGACTGAGCAACTGAACTGAACTGAACTGAAGTCTGTGACAGAAACCCAACCCAACTTGCCTAACCAAAAAGAGGGGAAAGAGAAGTGGCAGAAGAGCCCAGGGGTGAGCCTTGTCTCAGGCACAGTGGATTGAGGCTGGAGCCAAAACATAGCTATCTCCCTGGTTCTCAGCCCAGCTGACCACCAAGGTCTCCACATCTCCAGAAGGCAAGGAGGAGAATACTTTCCTCTTTGAGTGGGAGAGAAAGAGAGGAGAAGTGCTGATACTTGTGATTCAAAATCTTTTCTTTATCCCAGTTACTTGTATATTACAACAGAAAGATTGATCATGTCAGAGAGTGAGTTTTTGGTTTACACTGGGATCTTTCTTTTAAGGAAAGAATTGAATTAATGAGGTATTGAATAAGTGCATAGTGTTTTGAGATTTTCCCTCAATTATAACCAGTTTGATTTACATTTTAATGAGATTTTATGTTTGAAACTATAAGGCATGATATTTTTATAAATTTAATAGTGTATCATTTCAAGCAAAAGTAAATATCTATAAACTGAATGGATTTTTCTTTGAGTAGATTTTCATCCATTAGTTAAAATGCAGCTTCTTGTAGCATATTGAATTTGGAGTAGGAATCTAATTTCTAAAAATTTAATAAGTTAAATTAATTTGACTCATTGAAACTAATGATTTTTTTCAGCATCTTTAGAAAAACGTTGGCAATTTTACTTAAAGTTATAGAACTTTATCTGATAAATAACCTAACTGAAATGGTTCTATGTTTATTTTGTAAGAATTGTCTATTCTATAGAAATGATTCCACCAACTTAAGCCTTGCTTCATTCCATACTTGTTTCACTTCCATTGAATAGTTTCCATGTCACTGATACTGCCCTGGACATCTTGGTGAAACTAATGGGAAGGGAAAGAAGTGGAACATATCAAGTTGCTTTGTGTAAGAACTTAATGACATGTTGTTCTGAAGTTGGCTGGAGAGCTGTTAGGGTCCCTGAGGATTAGTTGTATACATCAAGGCATTTGAGCAGAAGAAAGCTGGTGGTTTAGACAGGCAAACTTCCCTGACTTGACATCACAAATTTCCTTCTTCCTCCCTGTATCTTCAAGGTAAGAAGCCAGTACTGTTTTCCTTTTAACATATATTGAAATGCCATGAAAACCAATCCCAGCATTGACATGGGAGTTAGAACTTTACATCTCTTCCTACCACAGAATTTCTGTGTACAAACTTTCGTGTGCTTGCTTAAGGATAGTCCTAATACATATTAATTATCCTTTTAAAAAATGAATGGGTGAGAGGAGAAGAGCAGAAAGGATCTGATTTTTCTGATTTGTCCCATTCTGGCATGGCTTCCATCAGCAAAGCCACTCTGTGGGGCCTCTTTATTATGCCTTCACATTACATGGTTGTCAGAGTCCATGGAAACTGTCTTGAGAGAGGGAACTTGCTGCTTCTTAGCAATATTATGGTTTTATGAAGTTGACTTATAATAAATCTGTGGTTCATAACAAATGAGTAAATAATGACTTTCTGTGTCTGCAAAGCTTATAGTAGGTGGGCCGAAAATGAGAGTGAGAAGGCAGGGACGAAGCATGACAGGTCAGCTCAGGAACTCTCCTTTGGCAGCGGGAGGCTGCTTGACACCTGCCTTTAAGGCGCTGATTTTAAATCCTGTAAAGAGAAGATTTCCTCCCCACCCCCACACGATTCTGTGGGTAACCATAGGTACCAATGATGTGGCTCAGGTATAGTCGCCACAAGGAGCTGTGACATACAGGAAGAGAACCAGGCTTTAGAGACCCAGTGTGGGCCTCAGCTGTGTCATCCACCAGCATGGTGCTCTCATCTGGAAATGCAGTCTGGATTTACAGCTCCAACAGAGAGTGGTTATGGAGGCAACATGGAGCGAGTGTGGTGACGGGGCACAGACAAGAGATACCAGAGAGGCAGGAGTCTTAAAGTGACTCCATTTACACTGGGAAGCCGGATTTCATAGTGATTAGGAGAAAGGGCGTAATCTCCACAAACCAAAGGTCAAATTATGGAAATCAGCTAAACTTACATATAACATTTAGGTTTTTAAAAAATAATTATTTACTTTTTATTTTTGGCAGTGCTGGGTTTTGTTGCTGCGCCAGATGTGTCTGGTTGTGGCGGCGGGGGACTGGTTTCCAAATGTGGCGCGTGGGCTTCTCGTTGTTGGAGCAGAGGCTC